CAGAGTCAACAATGACTAGAAGGCACCAAAAAAAAAAAAAAAAGACATGAAGATCTGGGGATTTTTGCCCCAGGACAAAAGCTCATTTTGAGCCTCTCCCCCGCCCGGTTCTAAGTGGGTTGGCATAGTAGAGAAGTAACAGTGACATGCAAAAGTGCCTTCCTCCCAAATAGGCTTTTAGGTGGGAGATGCCATAGTAATGATCCTGGAAGAATCCTGGTTGACCTAGACAGGTAAAATTTATTTCAGTGAACATTGTTAAGCAGACCTGACCAACCTCAGTATTTCTTGTCTATGATGCCAGTGAAGGTTAATGAACCGCCCTCTAATGCAGAGTTTCTCAAACTTGGCAACCTTAAGGTGTGTAGACTTCAACTCCCAGAATTCTTGAGCCAGCCAAGATTGCCAAGTTTGAGCTCTAACAGCTACCAGATACTCCTCTGCAGATGGCCACCTGTCATCTTTGCTAGGGTACCTAGAATTCTGTGTGTGTGTGTGTATGTGTGTGTTGTTTAAGATCAAGATGGCTCATGTGAACTTATTTGTGACTGTGCTGTTGAAGGCAGGGTTTTTACTCTTGTATTTCACAGAGAGATGCTTTTGTTTTTCCAGAAAATGTCAGCCTACTTTTTAAGTTGTACTGCTTGACAGTGATGACCTTAGTGGCTGCAACATATACAGTAGCATTGCGATATACAAGAACAACTGAAGCAGTTCTGTACTTTACATCCACAGCTGTTTGCATTACAGAAGTTATCAAATTATTCCTAAGTCTGGGCATTTTAGCAAAGTAAGTATGAATGCTGATAAGAATAGTGAAATGGTGAATTTGCTTATCTCTTTTCTGATTTATTTTCTTCCTTTAAAAAAGAAAGTCCTTCCATAGTTCTTTTTATGATTCACACGTATGAAATGTGTTAGCTTTGCTTCTTTAAACAGAAGATTATTTTTAAAGCAAACAAAAACATTCCAAACTGAGTTTTTGTTCTAGATCTTTTCTTCCAGTAGCTCAATAAACAGATGTCACCACCCAAATACTTTTTCATTGTTCTGGCTAACGGTCAGAATATTAGTGTGAATTAAGTTCTGAAACCTGGGTCAAAGTGATTTGGTGCAGACATGATTCTTCACAAATGTTCAAAAAGATCTTGCATTCCTACAAGAGGGCATTTAAAGATTAGCAGTTTGTTCATGCTGTTCTCCCTCAATTACAATTTCCTTAGAGCTTTTGAACAAGGCAAGCTTAGAACTCATGTAGAAACAAACCCAAACGGTTCCTCGCTGTGCTGGTAGCTGTTCAACAATTTATAACTTTCTGTCTTTATTTAGTGGTACTTCAGGTCTTCTGCCTTGAATTTACAGCACACTGTACTACACTGCCATTGTGATACATATAGACTGCTGGTCAGGACAATACAGTTAGGCCCTTGCAGCATTAATAATTGTTCTCTTGCTATGATACACTACTGTATGATGCTTTGGTACAGCCTCAAATAACACACTCCTGCTTTTCTTTCTCTGTGTATGCTGAGTTTCCTAAGGAGCAGCTTTCTCCAGCATTGTCCTCTCTAGGGCAGTGTTTCTCAACCTTGTCAACTTTAAGATGTGTGGACTTCAACTCCCAGAATTCCCCAGCCAGCCTTGTTGACAAGGTTGAGAAACACTGCTCTAGGGATATAGGTCAGCAATTCATATCACCCTCCTTTGTCATGGCCGAGATGATACAGTCCAAATGCATTTAGAGGGCAATGGGTTGGAGAATGCTAGGGTAAAGTATTTATAATGAGCTTTATTAATTCTTGGTGACATCAACTATAATGTGTGTGTGTGTATGTATGTATGTATGTATGTGTATATATACACACACATTTTATATATATATATATATATATATATATAAACATGGTTCCCTCCCCACAGCCTACTCCCTGAAACTACTTTTCTTCCAGCTGGGTTTAGGCACCAAAAGGAACCCTTTTGGGTGGGAAGAAAAAATGACACCCAGGTGGGGCTGAAAGGCTGTGGTGAGAGAATAGACTGCACACCTGGCCACATGTCCCTACTTCTCCTAAAATTGGACCCACCAGTCCACACGATGGGCGAAATCCAGGTTTAAGCTATCCCATGTTGTTTTGATATTTGAGCTCCTTTCTTGGTAGTGTGTTGCAGTACAGCTTGACTTGACAGCACCCCAAAGGGCTTCAGGCACCGCTGTAGTTTCTTATTTGCTGTAACTTTTGTGATGATCTGGTGTGATGATCAGATATTTTCTGACACCAAGTCTTAATCATCTCTGAAAAGTTTGAGTTATTCTGGAATACAGAGTTTCAATAAATAAATAAATTGCTTTCTAAATACCAAGACATTCAAGGTTCAGTCACTTTCATAACAATGTAAGAAGAACCTTGCTTGATCAGGCCAAGGGCTCACCTAGTTTAAGCTTCAGGGAGAGAAGACCTCGCTTATGGGCATTATCTTTTTTCCTGTGCATGAAAAAGTGAGAGGGTGATATCTCCCCTGCCCCCCCCCTTTCTCCTGCACAGAGAACCAAACTCCATACACCGTGGAGCACCAGCAAATATGACTCTTACTGTAAGGGATGGTGATGGGAAAGATGCTTAGGGGCAGGGCAGAACTGTCCAGAAGCGCTGTGGACCAATCCGAGTGGTCTGACAGGATGGATTAAGACTGCAGGCAAGAGGTGTCCAACCCTGAGTTAGGCTTTTGTACTCTGTCAGGAATCACCCAGATTAATAAATGCATGTTAGCAGTTAAAAGTGCAATTATATCAAGCTTGTCTCAGAATGGGATTGTTTTTGTTGATGTTGCTGGGAAACAACTTTGGCAGTTGTTGGGGAGTTCTAAGCACAGACCTCTCCGTTGGCCTCTTTCTGGTCAAAGTCTGAAATAGACTGACTTTGAACTTCTGCATAATACCTGTACCTCCCTATTATTAAGAAGTGGCAATCCTATTTCTCCTAAAACACTTTGTTTCGTTTTCCTCAGGGAGACTGGAAGCCTAGGCAAACTGTTAATGTCTTTGAAAGAAAATGTCTTGGGAAGCCCTAAAGAATTATTGAAATTAAGTGTTCCTTCGGTTGTGTATGCCGTTCAGAATAACATGGCCTTCCTGGCTCTCAGCAATTTGGATGCAGCAGTTTACCAGGTAACCGAGTGATGTCCTTAGCTGTGTCAGCTAGAAGCAGGTGTTCATACGTGTGTGTGTTCTTCAGTCAATGGGTTGCAGTATCTAGGGATGTCTGGCACACATGGAAGAGGAAAAGCAGCACCACCAGGAGAGCGTGGCATTGTAACTCAACTACCATGCTTTTTCCAGTGGAAACAGTCCACCCTTTTAGCTGTATGCCTCTGAAGCAAAAGTCAAGAAAGCCCCTAGAAATCTTCCATAAGTGAAGTGCTTTAGGTCCTCCATAATTGTTGTGTGAATTTTTGAGGCGGCAGGAAGAGAGGTTGGTAACTAAATGGGTTATCTCAAAAGTTTCATTACTGAAGAATGATAGGGAAAGTACAAAATGTTGGAATAAGGGAAATATAAGAAAATAGTTATCATTGCTGCCTGCTGTTTAATACCTTGTGTAAAATTAAAGAAGACCCGGGTGTGCAGCCTTGATTGGTGACAACTACACTTGTCATTTAAGTGGGATGCTGTGAGCCACACTGCGTAGAGGTGGCACTGGGACAATAAAAAGTTGACATACTGTAATTGGTTACTGACATGTAATTAAGTTCCATTTAACAAAATGTTATCAATATTAGTCCCCATATCACTTTTATATAATAATCACTTCTCACTTTTCTCTACTTCTACATTAAAAATTACTTTTGGAAGGCCTGTCGGTGCCACGCAGATGGGATTGCGCACCTCTGAAATAAAACATGTCTTAAACCCAATGGTTTAGGTGACGTATCAGCTGAAAATCCCCTGCACGGCCTTGTGCACTGTCCTGATGCTGAACCGCTCCCTTAGTCGGCTACAGTGGTTCTCAGTGTTTATGCTGTGTGGTGGAGTCACGCTCGTGCAGTGGAAGCCAGCTCAGGCTACGAAAGTTCAGGTAAGCATTCTCCCGGAAAGCCTTTATTTGCATTTTTTTTATCAAAACAAATGGTAGCTTGTGTAAAAAAACAGCAGATTTGTAGGGAACCATGATCTGGAAACCTGTGCTCCATAGCTGAATGTGTAACAGAAGCACATTTGCACTGAATTATAGTTTTCGCTATATTCTAATATTTAAACATGGATAAATTTATGGTGGACTCCTAGGACAAGAGCAAGCCACTTTTTTTCAGTGGAGGCCAGCTATCCCCTGGTGTAATTTATTTGGGGGCTGAAATGAGGAAGGGGTGGTTTCAGAACCAATAGGAGGTTCCTCTCTGCGGCAATTTTTTTTCTTTCTGTCCTCCCTCTTTTTACCTCCATTGTTTCCTTCTTTCTGACTCTCTTTTGCAAGGAAGAGACAAGCCTGAACTAATGGCAAAAGCTTCTGAATTTAGTTTAAGAGTCTGATGAAATAAGCTAATCCAAATGCACCCAAAGATTGCCCACTCCTGTCTTGGTATCGTAATAAGCTACTTTCTGTGTTACATAAATGCAAAGTGAGATCTGGTGGGAAAAAAAATCCAAATGCTGGGTGCATATTAAATTCAGTGAGTACCAATTCCACATACTCGGCAATTGGACTCATTGAATTTAATGGGACTTGAGTGAGATCTACAAAAAAAGATCTACACTTCCACTGTATCCAAAATAGCAAATATTTTCATCCAGAACTAGTGACATAGTTTTGTTCTATATTACTTCTTTAACAGAATATCAGTTAATCCATCAAAAACACCAGCTGTGTTTTTTGAAAGATAGATTATAGGTATATGGTTATTACAGCTGAGCAAGGATATGCTACCGATTTATTTAATGATCATGCAGATGACAATAGCCAAAGGATCTAAATGAACAGCAAACCTTAACAAAATTAGAACTAAGGTACATATGTGCAGTGATTGAGGCCTTTCCCTCTTTAAGTCCAGAAGGCTTGGACATCTGACCTTATTTTCTGGAGATAATATATTTGCAGCAAATCAAATGTTGCAGTTCAACTTGTAGGCAAAGTATACAGGGTGGCCCAAACTGATTCTGTCGTAGTAAATTGGTATCCTAAGATATTTTTGGGAAGTAGTTGTTGCCAACGGAGTGATAAATATAGATTTTTTTCTTTATTACATCTTTAGGTGGAGCAGAATCCACTGCTAGGGTTTGGCGCGATAGCAATTGCTGTTCTATGTTCAGGATTTGCAGGTAATACCGAAAACACAGGACATTCTCCATGACATTAGCTTATCTGATAACTCTGTTTCCTCTCTTACACTAGTGCCGTCATTTAAGAACTGCTACAGCAGAGTTTGTTTTCATGTTGCTTAGCTAACAGGAGCGGGACTGGGCCTCGGCTTTGTGTGAAGAAACTTCTGTATGTTATGGCTGTTCTCTGCACCAGTGTCAGCCTTCCCAGAAAATGGTTTGGAGCAATCCAGTCAATTATACTAGCAAATGATCCCATGTAAATAAAATCCCTTCAGTTTAATAGACACCTGAGGTTAGCTGAGGTTCTCGCTTGAGAACAGTTTTAGGTGACTATACTCACTGTGCGAAGATGGAAGGAGGTCCTGATTCTGAGAGGCACTGAGGATACTGGTTCTATGAGAGTATAGTGGCCTCACCAAAACTGATCGCTTACAATAAAAACTTTTAAAAGAATCTGTACTTGGAATTGTTGTCTGAAATAAGAGTGATGCCGTTCTGATCAACAGTATATTGTAATTCTTTTCTGCAAAACTAATGTTATCTTATTTTTGCTTATTTGGAGAAAAAACCCTGCCTGTTAAATATATCTCGGTAGTTACATCTCTTCTCCTAATGTTATAACTGCAAAAATTTTATAAAACATCAGCATGGATGGGTGAAGGTTAGAAGTCAGCACAGATGGATCCATTTTGCTTTTTGTAACTTTTAACATTTTTTCAAGTTCATCCTACTGTGTTTCTGCATCAGCTTGTGGGGTCTTTTTGAAGTCCACCATTGGTATACCAATTCAAATGTGGAAATGATTTTTGTGTGCAGTTGTTGCAAGCACTTTCCTTAATGCATGCATTTTTGTACAGGTACTCCTTGCTTAGTGACTACTCGTTCAGTGACTGTTCAAAGTTACAAGAGCACTGAACGAGGGTGACTTATGACCAGTCCTTGAAGTTGCGGCTGTTGCAGTGTCCCAATGGTCATGTGATTGTGATTTGGGTGCTTGGCAACTGGCTTGCACATACAACAGTTGTAGTGTCCCCCCACCTGCTTGCATTTGCACCGTGCAGCAACACCCACCCATACACCGTTGTATTCATGCCCCACGGCAGCAACCACCCACATACCTTGTATTTGTGCCATGCGACAGCGCTCAGCCCCCTGCCTGACTTAACTCATGCCATGCGGCAGTGACCATCTGCATGCCCCACTGCGCTTGTGCCGCCCCCCTACCCACCCGCACTCAGTAGCACTCGCCTGCCTGCCTGTTTGCAAGCCACCTAAGGAAAGGGTTGTCGTGACTGGGGCTTGTGGCTTCCTGCTGGTTTCCCCATTGACTTTGCTTGTTGGAAGCCAGTAGGAAGTTGCAAGTCCCAGTCACATGAAGTCCTCACTTAATGACCTGCGATCCTTGCTTAATAATGGCAACCGGGACTGCCAGATTACTGTTGCTAAGCAATGCAATCACATAATGTATTGCTTAGTGATAGAAATTCAGGTTCCAGTTACTGTCGTTAAACGAGGACTACCTGTACTGATTTTTTTTCCAGTTGTGCATTTTTAATTTGTATGCAAAATTTGGAGAAATGCAAAAGCCAAGGAATAATTATGTTGCAATTTACTGGTTTGGAAGTGGGGATTATTAAAGTGGTATGTATTAAAATGCAAATGATCTAGAAATATTTGGTTTATTTCTATACCACATCATTGGGGAAGTTATGATTCAGCTAGGTTCCTCGACTTGAGCTATCAGATAGGCTACATGTTGCTTTCAGAAAAAGCTGTGGAAGCCTGCCTTTGGCATTCAAACATAAAAGGTCTAATGAGCTATTCTTTAAACTATATTGATTGACTAGCTTCTTCTCTAGGGTAGCTTGTTGATCTTTTGCTACTTTCCTTTCAGGAGTATATTTTGAGAAAGTACTAAAAAGCTCTGATACATCTTTATGGGTTAGAAACATTCAGATGTATCTGTCCGGAATTGCAGTGACATTGCTTGGGGTCTACACAGCCGAAGGAACTCAAGTAATGGAGAAGGGGTTTTTTTATGGCTATACACCGTATGTCTGGTTTGTCATCTGTAAGTATTGGGTTTTGCCTTAGCTTGTAATTGCCCAGTTTGTGATGTTTTTGTAGTAATGCCAGAAGTACTCAGTTTCAAATATGAGAACACGCTGAAAAGGCAATAATTAACATTATCCCAAAGAATGGGTTCAACCTAAATTACTTAGAAGCAAATTTAAATCATATATGCACTGCAGTTCCTTTCTGCTCAGTACTGCTGGGCAGGACTGAGAAATATGCGGGGATGGTCTGTAGAAGCAGGTCTCTTTTATTCCAGCCCTTTGCAAAAATGATAATGAAACCTGCCCCAAACCTATTTGATCCAATTATCTGTAGATAGTAAAAAATCTAATGAATGTTAATTCCTTTAGAGTCTGCAAGCTATAGAGGTCATCTGCTGAGGTATACATGCAGCTGATATCTGAACTCACACAGCTTGTAAATTATAAAGTAGGGGTCGGTAATCAGGCACCTTTCACACCTTTTGGATTTTAACTTCCATCAGCCTCAGCCAAAATCCCAAGTGGTGAGAGTGGGAAGATGCAAAAATAAATTTAGGGGAAACTAGATGGGATGTAGGAGGTAGAGGACTAGTTGGTACTTCGTCTTTGGGAGATGTTGCAAGCAAATATGCTAAGGAGGGTAACCTGTGGCTAACAGGTACATGCCTTTCAAGATTACAACATGGCAGAATGCCAATGTTCAAAGTCTGTTTTTGGGAAGATGAAAATAAAATATAAAACAACTGTATTACACCTTTGCAAAGTTTAAAGACCAGTTTCCTATTAACTCTCCTAGAACTCACCAAAATTCATGCTTAGATAAGGTGTAATTTTTTTAAAAAAAAAATTTAATCATGTGGAAATGACCTTGGGAGACAGGAGGAAGAGCCGCAGACTAGACAGCAGTCAGACAAGTGGCAGCTGAGTCTGCAGAAGGAATGCGGGCATGGCAAATGTCTCAGAAGGGACCCTCCGTAGTCTCTTGGACTGTAAAGGCAAGGGGGGAGAGAGCTACTTTCAGACTTGCAAGATTCTGTTAGTGTAACTTTACAATAAAGTTAGAACTACTACTTCTTGTCTGGACTACCTCACAAGGCTGACATAAGGTCCATTTTTCATGCTTCCCCTAGCTATCCCATACCACCCTCTATGGTTCATGGAGGCTAAGCAATAAAAAGACAGCCTTTGCGTGCCCCCCCCCCAATGCCAATTCATAGCTGAGTCCCAAATCAGGTTGGGTGGCTATGGGGTAAGGAAATACCTATCATCAATCAGAAATGTAATCTTCAGATGATAGTACAGACTATGTAACGCAGACATGCAATTGGATCAGCAAAACTGGTATTTGACAAGAGGTTCTCTTGCCCATTCTTCCAAATAAATGCTGTAATAGTTCTTTTTACTATGCCAGAATGTACTGGGCATAAGCACATCTCTTTTCTGTCCTAGTTCTTTCCAGTGTTGGAGGCCTCTATACTTCAGTTGTTGTTAAATATACAGACAACATTTTGAAAGGTTTTTCTGCAGCAGCAGCCATTGTGCTCTCTACAGTTGCATCAGTCATTCTCTTCGGTTTACAAATCAGTAAGTTGCTTTGGGCTATTTTGTATTTTCATTAAATCATTTATGATCCATAATATCAATGGGATAGGTTACAATCAGTGATACATTACAGTAGTTATATGGTTTAAATTGCTCATTATCTCCAGCCTTACTCTTTTGCTAACACCATTCATTTATGACCAGCTTCAACCAAAAAAATGGCCAGATCAGATTATCTTGTCTAGAATTATTTTTCCAGTGTGATCAGATCCCTATCACGTTCAAACATTATGTGTTTAGTGTACTTTTATCATATTTCATTGATTCCCCTGAAAAGTATTCTGTGTAAGATTGTTATGAAATAACAAGAGTTGTTTCTCATACAGGTAGTCCTTGTTTAGTGACCACAATTTGGGACCAGCAACTGTTGCTAAGCGAAGCAGTCTCTAAGTGGGAAATCACATGACTACGACTGTCCTTTCCTTTTTCCCGTTCTCCCATCCTTTGGAATGCTCACCCTGGCGCTGGGATAATTAACAAGAAGGGAATTAATGTTTGTATTTACATTCATTGGAGAGGAAGGGATTACAAGAGAGTAAGGAGGCACACAGTGGGGAATACAGATCGAAAGCAGTGCACTGGTGCCAGCAGCCACAAGCACACTATGCAAACAGCCTGGTGTATTCCCCACTGTGTGCCTGCTTACTCTCTTATAATCCCTTCCTCTCCAATTTCTCTACTCTTCAAGGGGGGGGGGGGAAGAAAAACAACAGGTCAGGCACAGGACAACACATATTGACTGCAATGGTGATCATGTGACTGAGGGATGCTGCAAAGGTGGTAAATGTGGGCATTGGCCATAAAGTTATTTTTTCAGCACTGTTGTAACTTTGGTCACTCAATGAGGCAGTCAGTAAGCAAGGACTACCTGTATAAGTAACCTGATGTTTGGTCTTGTAGTCATGGAGTGATGGTGAATGTAAATTAATTCTTCATTCTTCCTAGGGTCTGAGTCATGTTTAAATTTAAGATGATGTTGCCACTTATTTACTAATATGATAATACCCCCCACCAAAAAAAAAAGAAGAAAAAACCCTATAAAATGAAAGTAGATTGTAGCAAGATATCAAAGCTATTTTCCAGCAGTGAAACAGATAGTATGTACCTGTTTCAGTACATACCAGATTAAACTTCTGGAGAATCCACTACCTAAAGCTGCAAACCAGATTTTCATCTTCAGTGATGGAACTGTGATCAACGTACTTTAAACTGTGCGCTCTCTTTTTCCCTTCTAGCCATAACTTTCTCTCTGGGTGCACTGCTTGTCTGCGTTTCAATATATCTGTATGGATTGCCTCGACAAGATACAACAAAAATTCAGCCAGCAGAAACAAAAACGTCGAAAGGGAACCTTACGACTGTGTGATGTCTGTCTTCATGAAGAATAGGAAAGGCAATACAAAGCAAAGGAGAGAATCTGTGTGCCTCTCCCCCCACCCCCACTCCTTTCTTTTTGAATTTGGCCTTCAGTTCTTTATGGAAGGCTTCTGATGGGACTGAAAGTGAAGTCAGTCATTCGTTGAATGAGAATTTACATTGGAGGAGGATTCTTCGCTAATCTGTAGAACCTCACTTTCCCTATAAACTTTTGCAATCAAAGATGCTGCATGCTGAAAAGAATCAATGGAAGGCAGAGTTACACTGTATAAAATAAATAGGGAGATGGCCTTGGAATTTACTCCCATGTTACAACATGATACATAGGCTTTGTTGCCAGAAATGCTTGCAGTTGCAAGGAGGAGATAATTCAAGCTTAAATGTGACCAAAACAACGTAAGATTATATTGGAAGGATAGCATTTTTTTCTTCATGGATACCTGGCATTAAGATCCAGTATTGCTTTTATGATAAAAATAGTTGTTGCAACAAGAAAAGCACAGTGACAGTTGTGAGACAGAAGGCAAAATGCTATTACTGGAGTTTTAAAACTCAAAATGGTAATTTATTTTTTGATATCCTGAACCCAAGATCGCTACTTTTTGAAATAGCAGAAAGAAAAAAATACTGCGACTTCTTTTAAGAATTTTATATTGAAAAAGGGAAGGGGATAGATCATTGTATATACATTTACTTATGCATTGATTTAACTGGTAATTACATACATTCTTGTGCAATATGGCTAGTGTTATGTACTGTTTCAATTTGAATCTTTATACTTGTGTTAAATATGTTTTAGAGAAAGGGAACAAGCCCTATGGATTAAATATCATTTAGGTTTATATTTACTGATTTTTGTCAATTTTCATACTGAAATTGTTGAAAGGTAAATATTTTTTAACGCTTTCTGCAGCTTTTGAAAAACGAGGCTTTAAGAAATTAAAATGCATAATTTCTGTAAATCGAGCTGTAACACAGAGAACCAATTAACAGTAACATTGGGTAAAAGGCTTGAATTCAGACTATGACAATCTGATTAATCAGAATGGCAAGAATTGATTTTGAACTTTACGGCCAGCAAGTGTAACTACTCCAATTTGGCCCTTTCCAGTTTTGTCGTTGCCACGCTGGCTGGGGGTGCCTGAAATTGTAGCTCAATTTCTGTGGGGGGAACCAGAGAGGAATGGCTGAGCTACATTCTGCATCCGAGACCACTGGGTTAAGTATGTGGAATGGGTTACAAATAGAGTGGAAGGATTCTTTCTGTTTGAGGCTGCCTGACTCTAAACAAAATGAGTTGCCCTCCTTTGCACAGAATTTGGAGGGAGTCCTTGTGATGTTGTAAAGTGCCTCACCCAACTTTTTGGGAGGGAAGGAAAAGACTAAGACAAAACTGTCTGACAACAACTGATCATGGAAAAAAGCAAAACGGAGGACAGAATCTGAATACCATCTGCCCACGCTATATAGTCATTTATCAGGCATTTGGAAGAAAAAAGGACAACAGAACAGGGGAATAAATGCAGAGAAACCAAATGCGGAAGCCTGTTTGCAGAGAGGACTGGGAGAAAATAAATAGAAGTTGTTATCATTTTTTTCCTAGCAATTACTCTCCAGAGAGGAATAGAAACCTCACAGCAAAGCATTTATTTGTTTTGACCTCTATATCTCCTTTTTTCTGTATCATAGTAAGGAAAAGGTAAAACTATAAACGTGATAGTGGATGCTTTATTTCCACAGTGGAAGTAGGACTGAGATAGATTTCTTGGAATAGAAGTAGCCCAGCTTCGCAGTACATATTTCATGGTCAGATTCTCCGGCTTTGGGAGATGGCTATCAAGGCATTTATCAGGTTTTCTACAAACATTTCACCCTGCATCTCCCTGCAGGCTTCCTCAGTGCAACAGGTTAGAAGGGGGGGGGGGTTACCTTGCAGCGACCCTTCCTTCTGAATTATCACACCGAGGAAACCTGATTTGTACCTTAGTATTGATTTCCCAAAGCCTGGAGAACCCAGGTACATACAGAAAGCGCTGTTTAGTACAGCATAATAAATACTTCTGTATTCTTGAAGGGACATTATGGCAAAAAGCTATAAGCAACAGTCTTTGGGGATCAGTAGATATGCGAGATTAGACGTTCTTACAGTGGGGGTGAGGAGATGTATGGCCCAAAGGAGTACTTGAACTGTAAGTCCCAGCCCTCCTCATCAATGACTAGGGTGGCTGAGCTACGGTGATGCTGATCCCAACATTGGAAACACCATGTGCTCCCCTTGTTAGCCCTAGATGGCATCCAAAAGTAAGTTCTGTTTAAACCGTGGCATTCCCCAATAAAGTATCAGATTGCAATCACCTACCATGCAAATGAATAGGTAGCCCACAGAGGGTTTTTGAAAGAATGATGCCTTTAGAGGCTGGTGACTTTCCTTGGGGCATAGCAGCTTCCTCTTATTTTTTTAAAAGAAAGTTTCAAAAGTTTAAAGTCAGATGGAGCAACCAGATAAGGACTGCATCCATGGGACTTGCATAGCTCATAATGCCAAAATAGCTTTTATCTTAAATGTACCATACACATTAAATTACGTTTTAAAAAAAGATGCCCACCTTTCAAACCAAGCGCTTATGAGGAACAAAAAGGAAAGAAAACAGTTCCACCACTAATTTCCTCATAACGACAATGCTTTGTATTACAAAGGTACATACTGGAATTTCATTTTTAAGTGATATTATTTGGTGCCAATTGCACAGCTGCTGAAATCTTCAACCAACTGAAAGGTTTTGATTTCACAGCAGGTCAGTAGAGTGGCAAAGCAGCAGTCATAGAGTCTGGTACACACGTGGTGGATGCATCACAACCATTAATTGAGATACTAATGAAACCTGGAATTGGCTTTATAATAGAGGACAAAAAAATTCATGTAAAAAGGCCTTCTGAAGATTCCCATCAATCTGGAAAGGCCATGAAAGTTAAATCGGAGGTCAGATAATTTTCATAAAAGCAACAGCCACAATAAACATCAAGGACGTTTTTCCATTACATTTTATCTACAGGTGTGATTCCTAGAAGCTTCAGTCCGTTGGCTAGAACAGAGCGAGCAGCATGGAAAAGGCAGAGCCTTGCCTGAAATATAGGGGAAAAAAAGGGGGGGGAGGGGAGGGATAGAGAAGAGGAAAAAGCAATTTTTATCATTTGCTTATGAAGGCAGCTTCTTATCCCCCCTCCCCCTGTTCTATGCTATGGTAGTATAAAATGCTTTAGAACTATTAAGATGCCCATTCTGTACCAATAATTCTGCAGTTCGATCACTGTTAGGATCTTTTACTTCTCTTTTTTCCTCTGGTGTCTCCTCCCACCTCCCTAAACCTGATGCTGAGATCCTCTCCATAAGCATAAAGCAGATTTTGTATACAGTATTGGTCAAGGGAACTTTCCCCTTTTCCTGATGGAAGTAGTTTCTTTTTCTATGGGAAGACTTAATTAGATCCCGTCTGCAGAAACTGGCTATTCATGTTTCATCAAAGTACCTCTATTTCTGTAATGCTCATTATCCTTATGCCTGCATAGACTTGGACGTTTGTGTCCTGCCTAGTGACTTCTTACATGCATCAAGTTCGCCTCAGCGGGAAAAAGGATACTGCTGCTTGTACATTCGTTTGCTTGACTGTTCTGTCTACTTCTGAAGTGTAAGAGGCCCTATATCCAGATAAAATCGTCCAGTGATGCGGTATGTATTATTTCTGTTTCACACGTAGCACAAAAATGCTGCATTCAAGACATCCTTCTGCTTTTCATGTGAAGTGACAAAGGTATTAATTGCTGTACCCTATATCTAGCCAGCGATGCAATATCTAAAGCAGTTTCCTCAACCTGCAGTATTCCAAATATGTTGGAATGACTATCGCTAGAGTTCCCAGCCAGCTGTAACAGTGAGTTATGACAGCATGCATATGTTGTCTATGGATGGAGATAAGGAAGGTCTGAGCTTTGATATGTGGCCATTTAATATTCAGCAATGTTCACAGCTCCCTGGGGACAGCCTTCAAAGGAACAGTATCCTAGCTCACACGCAGAGCTACTGCAGTAGACTTATTTCATCCTCTGGTCTCCTTGTTTCCAAAATCAAAACGCTGCCATTTATTCTTTTAACTCATACCCCACCCTTCAACAACAGGCTTTTCTCCAGGGTTTATGGCTTAGGGATAATAAATGACATTCAAACACAGAGTATTAATGTTACCTGAGCTAGTTCCAGAGCGCTGCCTTTCACAGGGAGATTTTTGTGAGCTGCAGATACTAAATGACTGAAACAGAAATACCAAGCCTGAGAACAAACTTTCCAAAAGAGAGCAATCCTAAACTAAGCAGCCAATGGCACTGGTTTCTGACTACATATGCTTATGTCCGGGTGGAATAAGAATGCCTTTCTTGGCAAAATCCTGCAAGGGCCACGGGGCATATGGAACTGCCACTGTGGCTTGGATCTAAAGCTGGAGGATGCTTCTGCTTGTTTCCGACCAAGCAGAAGAGTGTTGTGTGAGGAAAAAGACCTCACATTCATAACCTTGTGTTTGTTCAAGCTCTACAATGGCCACTGTCTGTAATCAAGCCTGTTCTGTTCTGAACAGAAGCTCTGTTCCAGCCTTTGTACGCTCTGCTACAAGAGCCTTTCCCAACCTTGTATATTCCAGCTATGTTGGGACAACTTCAAGAATTCCTAGTGGGCACAGGCAACAAGATTTCTGGAAGTTATAGTCTTAATATACTGGAGGACACAAGGTTGGGAAAGGCAGCGCTAGAGTTGGCTCCGCTACAGCCTGAATCTACCTTATATATTGGCTGCATTCATATAACTTGCTTAGCCAGGCCAGTTAAACATCGAGTGGTTACATGAGCACAACCAATTGAACGTAGTTAGTTTAAACCCTGTTTGTGACTCGTGTAGCCTGTTTGGATAGTTTGTGAGTCAATGTATTATGCAAACCCATTACATGGGTTAATTCAGTAACGAGGCACTGTGTTTCTCAAGTTTGATTTAGTCTTGCCCTACCACGTGCACAGTCATTTATGGAACACTGCATTTTTTCTTTTCACTAATGTTAACTTTGCATCCAAGCCCATCTTCTGCAAAGTATAATATATAGGAATATCAATTTCATCCTCTGTGATATCTATGAAAGTAAAATTATGCCACATATGTACAGGAGAGACACAAACCACCTTTAAAAGATTGGGAAATAAGATGTAGGGATAAAATAGCTCAATCAGACTGAGCATGCTCAGTACCCCTGAAATGCTGAATGACTATTGCAAGGGCAAAAATACCAGAGGGGGGATAAAAAAATCCAGAAAGGACACAGCTGGTTAGCTGGGATTTTTCTGCAGTGCTCATTTATTTAAATGTCATTTGAAATCACAAAAAAATATAATTTTGTTCCCAGACTTAATAAGCTATCACTTTTCTGGCAGGCTATTCCTGGAAATGTTATGTTCAGAACTGGAATGTACCTCAACAAGAAAAACTAGTTTCTTTTTATGATCTCTTGAAAGTTCACCAACTGATTTTGACAAAGAATTGTTTGTCCAAAGGCTTCTCATGAACTGATTTTTCACCAGTGACTCAGGCCAACAATATACAGCATTCACTTAAGGCATTTAGAATATTTCATAGGAAAATGAAGTTTGCAGAAACCACATCCTCTTTGATATTATGTAAATTATTGGCCATCTATAGCCTGAAGAAAAGTAAACCAGGAGGAACAAAATTGTTTAAAAGAAGGCACACCTGAAGGTTTTCAAGAACATATACTATTTTTTGATTTAACAAGGTACTGATTTTGAAATAGATGGGTATTATTGAAATGTAAAAAGTTATTTGAATGAATGAATGAATGATTTAGGATTCCATAGGCACAGGCAAAAGCTGCTATAATAGAGCCAGCCTTTATTTCATGTATTTGTTAGAGCTTTTCTCCAAGAGCTCAAAATGGCTTAATTTCATCCCAACAGCAAGACTTTGAGTAGTTGGTCTGAGAGAATGATTGGCTCAGAGTCATCTATGAGTTTCCATGGCTGACAATGGACTTGAACCTTGGTCTCCTCATTTCTAGTCCAACGCTTTAACTAGTCACCACACTGAAGCCTTCAGTTTGAAAAAAACTGCATCTTTTTACATCAAACTATCTGTTTTGAGGCTAAATATTTCTAAAATCAATGTATCCATTCCGTTCAAAGACTCCAAAGTTTCTTTCTTTTACCTGAGTTTAAAGAGATGATTAACAATATGCTTGGGCTGAAGATCTTGTGAAGATTGGTAAAGAATCTCATCATATCTGAAGGAAGAAAGGAACACATTTAGGAGGATTTGATCCAAAACAAACAAAAAAGCCACATAGGGAACATCTACATCTCAGTTTTATCCCAGCTTTACTGCCATATAAAGAGATGTCAGATTCTTGAGCACAACTGCTTCTTGGGGTGGAGGGTTGCACATGAAAGCTTCCACAGTTGGAGTAACTATTCCAGGAAAAAAATATACTGTCAAATAGCAGCTAAGTATACACTAGCTTTTGTTCAGCACCAGCCATACACTTAACCACTACTTTGTTTAACTGAAAATGGGGTTAGATTGTTTCCCCAAATGGTCTTGTATTTACTAAGAATAGAGTAATGGAGACACTGTTTTTTTCTTTTATTTTTCTGTGCAGGATGGCGGGAGATATGTGTGAGAGAGAGAGAGAAAATACAGTTTGAAATACTCTGGGACTTAAATATGTGTTGCAGTAGCAGCGCTCCATACTTATCACAGGATAATTAGTGGCTTACGTAAATGCTCTTGCCTGCTCTTTCCATATTTCCTCTTCCGTGAGGAAATCTAAGACAATCTATTCTGTCTTCCCTCCCTTTCTCCTCAGGGCAAGAAAGGTCTTAAGCAGCCTTGCTTCTGCCAAGGGTTTTCACTATTCCTAGCACTGTGCTCCTTCTGCAGACACAATTCATTGGACTATGCAGTGTTCACAGGACCAAACCTAACATTTATTTATTTATTTACTTTCAAATTTGTATGCCGCCCATCTCCCCCAATGTTCCATTTATTACCTTCTTCGTTTTACACATTTACATATTTGTTTTATACACTTTCAATAAATATTACCCAAAGAGGCTTTTTATAACTCATTAAGCACAGCTGGACACATTTGCAGTTTAATGTACCTGGCACTGTGCTACATGCTATGAATAGCCCAAGGCACCTTTAAAATGCTTGCTATTCCAAACAATGATAGCTAATGTACACCACATTCCAGTTCCACAGACATCACAACTGAACTAGATGCCAACAGAATACAAAGCACGCTTACCCTCTCTGGCTAAGCTGCTTCCCTGGGCTAATTCTAAAGAGACTTTTAGTGGAGAAATGAATTGAAGTAAAAACACTTCAAACCGTGGTACTCTACTTCCACGTTTTCTAGGTTACTGTTAGCAGTCTGTTGATACTAAATCAGTTATGTACTTGGATATACAGTTACTGTCTTTAAGAACTACTGCATATCAGGAGTAAGCATAATTAACAAAACGTATATGAACTGTGTTCAGTGCTGTCATACATGCAAAAAACTGCATTAGGAACTTGAAAAAATGCTGAAGTACCTGAGAAGATGTTGAAGTAAGGATATTGCTAGTGGATCTTGTAAACAAGCAGTGTTCATGGGAGTCCCTTGATGGACAGTTCCACATATTTCTTCTAAACTAGGGAGGCGAAGAGAAAACGGTCAATAACACTATAGTCAAAATACCATTGAAAGTTCCATATTTATGTATTGCATTGACAGGCTGCCTTTCCTGTAGGAGCTCAAGTCAGTAAGCACAGAGTCTCCATGGCGTTTGTGTCTATCAATAACAACATCCCTATGAGGTAGGATGGGTTGAGGGGGAAGGGTTGGCCTGAAGTCACTCTGTGTTTAATGAGCTCTGCAATGCATTTGTAGTGCACAACAGAATCAGCAGCACGTACCTGGGAATAAATTCCCATTAGGAAATTTGAAAAGCCATTTTAGGTATCAGTCTAAAATCTGAAAACTATTCTTATAAAAAAGTAATATTTCCTTCCTCAGCAACCAAACAAATAATTCCTTATTTAAAATAACATACATTAAATTAATAACTGAAGCAAAACACTTGGACTTTAAACTTGTTCCAGTTCTGCTCTGAGCCAAATCCTGCAAGAATGAAATAAAATAGCATAGCACAGCCTTAAAAGGACCTTAATTTTTTTGTTAGAATGGCACAAGTGTTGGACTGATCACCCCAAAAGAGTTAAAGAGCAAACTGCAAAGTTGCAGTTTTAGAAGGAAAGGGAAAAGAAAACTACCATATCCTCAAAACTGTTCCTTGCTTCTTTGTAGACGGTATACAGACAACAGGGCAATTATTGCAGGATTATGTTTACTCCCTATATTAAAAAAAGAAATCTAAAGTGTTTCTTTAAATTCTTTTTTTAAGTACTCTGTTGAGTTCTGCTGCCTGTTCAAAGTTAGGATTGTTTCCATTGCTCTCCTCCAGGAAAGCTACACTCTATTACTGAAAATTCTTCTTCAGCAGCCTCTTTGGGAATGCAGTGCTCTATGACTGCTCCAGGGAATTCTGGGAACTCTTCAAAGCAGATTTGTGCAACGCATGGGGGATGCCAATGGGAGAAGAAAAGGAGAAAGTTCCATTATATGAAACAGATGAAACTTTTGAGTAAAACTTGGCCATATGCCTGTTCTACATATTTCATCATTTAAGCACACTGAAGCCACCTTCAGAGAAAAGCTCCCAACCACCTTTACTTGCAGACAACTTTCATTCCGACCCAGATGAAGATCAGTTCAGTAAAAAACAGGGCACTAATCATCCCCCAATACCTGTGCAGCCTGGCATGCGTGTATTGCAAAAAGACACC